AGCAGCAGAGACAACCTGTCTCGGCCAAGAAGCAAAGACAGACACCAGAAAGCATTTTACTGACTTAAAACTAATAGAGATCACAAAGTAAAGCAAAACAAATGGGTTTTATAATAAGTATTTTTAAAATTCCAATTCAGGTAGAATTTGGTGGATATTTTTAGCTGTTTGGGCAGGGGGTGCTAGGAAAGGGACATCCTCAGCTAGTTTGATCAATAAAGCTATTATGTTTCTGGTTGTTTCCAGTTTAAGCAACACATCAAAGTCTGGAAAACCCTCCAAACTGATCACTAACTCTAGCAAGAAGGAATTTTTAGATGGGCTTTTTCTGTTCCTTAAAGAAGAGAACAGTTCATCTCTACTATGGCAAAAATATGTAAAGAAGTAACAGAAAACAAAGCAAACAAAGCATGGTTTGGAGGCACTTTCTTGATCTTTGTTTCAATAGAAAGCTTTATCTTAATTAAAATAGCTACTTTGCACAAGGTTATAAAGCAAACAGCATCCAGTTCAAGAAACATAAAACTCAGGCTTTAAATGTATCCTAAATATATCCTAAAAGTAATATATCCTAAAAATAGGATTTGGACTCTCTTTTGTCTTAAAAAAAGGATGTTCAATAGTGGGCAACTGATTTCATTCAGTACAGCACACCAGTGACATCTAAGAGCTGAATTAATTACCCTGGCAGCCTGCTATTGAAATTACCTCTTATGAGCCTCCTGCAGTCTCCTCTTTGTCACAAATAGTGTCACCATTGTAACAGGACACAGGCATTTCACTCTCATGACAGCAAAGTCCAGCCTGGCTTTGCTTGAAACAGCAAAGCAGCAAAGGCTGACTGCTCCAAGTAGAGAAGATGAGCACCTCAAGTCAGCTGGTGGGGGGTGAGGGGAGGGACAGCAGAGTCACATCGTGGAAAACAACATACAGCCCTTGAATGTCTCCTCAGGAAAAAATATAAATCATAACTGCCTTAAAATACTGGTTTATGGCTTCTAAAGGTCACTATGGCTAGGAGGCTTTTTCTAAAATATTGTCTAAATTGCCAAAAATATCTGTCAGATAAGCATTATTAACATACATTATATTACCTTTTTTTCCCTAGGAATTTTTCTTCCTCCATAATTATACAGACTTCAGTAATAGGGATCTTTTTCAAGGCACTTAAAGGAAGTCAATCACATTACTTGATTGCATTTCTAAAACTCTCATTTAAAACCTAAAAGGTTCTTACCATTACGGAATATCTATCTTCCATAGCAACATGACTTTCTGGGAACTTAGAGAGGTTGTGGCTTTTTGTTATTTTTATTAAAAAAAAAAACAGAGGAGAAATCATGTTGCTTGTAACATATCTTGAATAAAACTTCTATAAAGGTACAAATAATTGTCTAAAACATTAGTGTGAACAAGTATATAATTTTTTTGTCTTTGCAGTCCTAAATATATCAAAATCCTTTGAAATTATCACTGTAGCAATATCACATGCATTCTTTAATTACAATAACATTTTACAGAGAGAAACCTGAGCCACAGTTATCTATTCATACTTAATGCTGAGTTCAGAAATAATAAAACTTACTACAAGTTCATACTTATTGGTGCACAGAAACTGTTATAAAATATCCTTGAAGGTTCTTCCTTCTGGGAGCTCATTGCTCTTTTCCATAAGAAACAATTGATAGAAGCATGAGCAAGAGCTGGAAACAAAAGAGAAAATAGTAATACCTGAAATAAAACAAGTTTAGTGACAACATATCCTTCTCTGACTACAAATATACAGTCAGGTTTTTTTTTTGTCCAAGGCAACTCAATCAAAGCCACTGAATAATAGATTCCTGTGAGAACACTTGGAAGTAGGAGGTTGGGATTTCCTTGCTAATAGCAGAAAGTAAAATAGTTTAAAAGGCTAAAGTAATTAAAAGGATGCAAAGCTCAGGGATTTGAGGTAAAGGCAGAAAGTTTCAAGATTTTTTGTATTTATTGTTCTTTATGGTGTTCTTACATAAGAGATGTTCATTAGGTTGAAGCTCGGACAGGTTTCCACTTAAAATCATTCTCACAGGCAACGGCTCTTCTTAGTTTAGTTCTCCCAGCACAACCAAATTAGCAGCCTAATTACCTTGACATGAATAGGATTTTGACTGAGAGCCCAGACACAAGACCAGTTCCTTCCAAACTGATCTGAGTTATGTAGGTAGCTGGAAAAGAGTATTAAAAATTCTGTCTGCAGAGAAAGTGAAATAATGCCTTCATAGCTCTTTACAAAGAAAGTAACTAAGTATCGCTTTCCTGCACATCAGGAAATGTTAACTTTGATATCATTGCTATTACAGACAGGTTAAAAAAAAAATTTCTCATATACATATGACTTCCCTAAAACTTGTTCTGTCATTGTGAAATGCATCTGCTTCATTCAGCAAAACCAATACAAAAAGGAAACATATTTTTCCAGCAACAGGAAAATATCTACTGCTTTACAGTAGCAACCATGTTGTATTTGCTCAGGCAGCATTTCCATTGAAGCCAGCCACTACGTCTTCAGTGGACTTCAGGTCTGCATAGGAAGTGCATAGGAAGTGTCAGATCTGGGCCCACAGAAAGCACGTCCATAGCTTTTGTCATTCTCGAGGAGTAGGCTATCAAGGAGAGGGAAGATGCAGCGTTTGTAGAATAACAGCAGGCATGAAGAAGGACTTATTTCTCTTTGCTTTATCTAGGAAACAATGATGGATCATGCGCTGCGCACAATCTCGTACATTGCCGATATTGGTAACATTGTGGTCTTAATGGCACGCCGGCGCATGCCACGATCAGCTTCACAAGACTGTATTGAAACAACACCTGGTGCGCAGGAAGGAAAGAAGCAGTACAAAATGATCTGCCATGTCTTTGAATCAGAGGACGTAAGTAAATGGAATTAATTTTATTGAAACAATGTATGTCATCTAGACAATCTCTGAAATTACATCTAATTTCTTGAATGACTTTTGGTTGTCAGTTTTCCAATTGAAGCTACAGATAATCTGTGGAAACACTAGCTAGTCGTTTGTGCATATTCATATATCTTTTTTTTTTTGTCTCCACAAATTCATGTTGCAAATTCATGCATTATAGAATCATTTGTGTTCTTTCAACAAAGCTTCCCCAAGTGCTTTCATATCCACATGTCTGGAGTTTTCTGGAAGTTGATGACAATTCGTGGCCAAAATTAATTGATGGGATATCAAACTGATCATTCATCCTGGACTGAATCTTTAGTTTAGCAGCTTGGGATATAATGACACACATAAGCCTCCAGACACCTGGCAATGCGGTGGAATCATTCTGAACCTCTTTCAAACTGAAGCTGAGTTGCTTCTACCAACTTGGCGGGCCTGGCACAAGCTTGCCCTCTACCCAGTCCTTATTCCCTTATGGCTTTCTTACCTGCAGTTGGTATATGTACTCATATGTGACTTGGTCCTTTGATATTTAAGAACACATTCAGGTATTCATTTTTCAGTTCTCTTTTTTTCATCCCTAGCAAAGATTACGAATTAGAATTTTTATATAAATGCAATAGAGCTAAGAAAGTTTAGTTCTCTATATTTGTAGAAATTTTTCTTCACAGCCGGCAGAGTTTTGCAATTCTTAAAAGGCTAGGAAGAACTCACTCTCACTGCTCTCTCAGCTCATCTGTACAACGGAAAGCATAATTTCAGTCCTATATGCCATAAGATACTCCAAGATCTAATACCATATTAGCCCTAAACCACTGTTTTGTTAGAATTCCACTTTTTAAAAGGCGTGACCACTTCCAAATTTAGGTTCTAATTTTCACTTGCATCAGAAATACCAAAAGATTAAAGAAGTTGGAGTCATTCTCAAAATAGGATTGCAGAAGTAGTGATTATAGAATCATAGAGTGGTTTGGGTTGGAAGGGACCTTAAAGATCATCCAGTCCAACCCCTGCCATGGCCAGGGACACCTCCCACCAGACCAGGTTGCCCAAAGCCCTGTCCAACCTGGCCTTGAACACTGCCAGGGAGGGGGCATCCACAACTTCCCTGGGCAACCTGTGCCAGTGTCTCACCACCCTCACAGTAACGTGTTTCTTCCTTATATCTAGTCTAGATCTCTTCCAGTTTAAAACCATTACTCCTCGTTCTATCGCTATCTGCCCTGGTAAAAAGTCCCTCCCCAGCTTTCCTGTAGGACTCCTTCAGGAACTGGAAGGCTGCAATAAGGTGTCCCCAGAGCCTTCTCTTCTCCAGGCTGAACAGCCCCAAGTCTCTCAGTTGGTCCTCATAGGGGAGGTGCTCCAGCCCTCTGATCATCTTCATAGCCCTCCTCTGGACCTGCTCCAACAGCTCCATGTCCTTCATATAGCCTGTTTCAGCCCTGCGAAAAGTGCTGGCATGCCATGCCCTTGTGGCAAAGATATCCTTGCTTTCCTACATCCTGGTTTGTTTTTGTAGCGAAATGGATATTTGGGTCTAAAATGGCAGACCAGGGGACCTCAAAGTAAGACATTTATGGCAGAAAATGCCAAGCTAGTAAAACAGAAAAAGCAAAATTTGTTGCCTGTTTCTAACTTGACGATTGAGATACAGGCATTAGAAGTAGGCAGTACTACACATTTCTGACCATTGTTCTATAGGAACAGCTTTAAATATAGTTTCTGTCATACCGATTAAAAAAAAGAATTGTGTTGTGCTCCAAGAAAACCCTATGCATTCATAATACATTTAGCACGTACCTACTGTCTAAGAAATTGTGTCAGATTGCCCGAATAGTTTTATAGGTTTGATTAATACTATTTTTAGGGAGCTATGTTAAGATGCAATTAATGCCTCCTCAGATAATTTGGAGTTATTCATATCCCTGATAACAGAATACAGTACCTGAAAACCACAAATATATGAAACTCAGTGTGGCATTCTCCTGTGAGATGAATGCAAACTCAGAATGGAGGGGAAAAAGTCACATGTAGAAAAAGTTGACTACAAATTCCCTTTCCTTACCTCTACCTCTCTCTGTGTTCCAGTGCCATCTGGTGGAATAAGAAAGTAAATTGTACAGCAGTCCAATAATTCTTCAGTTGACTTTCCCAGTGTGCTGAATGTGCAAAGTTGTATTATCATTGCCATCAGTTTCTGTAGATTTCTTTCTAATGTGCATATATTTCTGACACATCTGTGATGTTTCATTAACTGTACCTGCCATACAGCCCACTGTAATGGGAAGTAATCTTTTATTGCATATTGGAATAAAATGCACGCGCAGATAAGTGCTCCAAAAATTAATAAATTCACAGAGGATTTTGAAGAGTTGCTCTTACCAAGCTATAATCATGGCTCTGGCTGTGTTCTCAAAAGCATCCCTGACATTGCTAGTCAAGGTGTTAACTGGAATAGCTGTTGTAGATGTGCAATGGATAAGTAGGGCTATCTTTTATTGCATATTGGAATAAAATGCACGCGCAGATAAGTGCTCCAAAAATTAATAAATTCACAGAGGATTTTGAAGAGTTGCTCTTACCAAGCTATAATCATGGCTCTGGCTGTGTTCTCAAAAGCATCCCTGACATTGCTAGTCAAGGTGTTAACTGGAATAGCTGTTGTAGATGTGCAATGGATAAGTAGGGCTATTACTGGTTTGCTGGGAGTACAAGTCAGGTTATCATGGCAGTAACAGGAGAGCAGATGGCTTCACTGAAGCACTCTTCAGTTCTATAAAACCAAGGTGGAGAAGCAGCATGTGAAAACCCACCAAATTAAACAGTGCACACATGTCTGTGAAGGCATGTGCAAGCAGAGCATCCATTCTCTCATCACTCCTGCAAATACACTGTGATGAGAAGCCAAGTTTGTGACAGTCTTCTCTGTAAGCTCTGTTCCGTATTGGTACAAAGGCAGTACTCTCCAGTGTTTATTGGAAGAAGTACATAAATAGCATATGGCTGCTTGCTACTGCAATGTACTGATGAAAGAAGATCAGCAGGGTTTTTAAATGGAGTCTGCAATTTGATTTTGGATGTAATGGATTATTTCTGTACAACTGACCTTAAAGTGACTTTATATCCATACTAACGTAGCAGCTTTGCAGGATCCTTTCTTCTGACTCTGACTAAAATCCAGTATCTTGTTTCTTATGGTTTCAGTGGTAAACTGTTTCTCAGTCCTTTCTCTGAACTGTGTTTTGTTCTACATTCTAGGCACAGCTGATAGCTCAGTCAATTGGTCAGGCTTTCAGCGTGGCTTACCAAGAGTTTTTAAGAGCCAATGGAATTAACCCAGAGGATCTCAGTCAGAAAGAATACAGTGACATCATCAATACCCAAGAGATGTATAACGATGATCTCATACACTTTTCCAATTCAGAAAACTGCAAAGAGGTAAACTAGATTTGAAATTTCATTTCAGATGGATCCATTTTTTTCAGAGGAATGTAGTTCACATGGAAAAAGGGCATTTTAAGGATGACTTTAGATCTCAAGATGTGTTGCTTCATCAATACTGTGCTACTAAATTCAGCTTTATAAGTTTTTTTTAATTTCTTTCAATTTTCAAGGCCTTTCTACTTCCATTGATCAAAACAGAAGTACATTTACATCTGACATAGATAAGCTCTGTAATATTCACAGTACACAACATAAGGTGGCTTTATGTTTTACCCAAGTACTGATACAGATAGAGAAATGACAATTCATTTTAATCCACATTGTAAGTGATTTCTTACTTAATAAACACAAGGACCACGAGTCTGGGATGCTGTGGCACTTGAGCAGGCTAATTTTTCTTCCCCTATTAGAACATCAGCAAAACTGCCACATGAAATGGAGTTTCACACTCATAATGCATGAAAAGGCAAGAATTTGCTTTAAGAGCCCCAAAGTGTAACTATTTACCTTTATGAGATAGCCATGTATTTCACATTTTAGATTTCATACTAACTGTAATACCAAAACTGGTGAGCGCAGTTGCACCCAGATTCTCCTTTGCCTTATATAGGAATCTGGCCATGTTTCAAAGGACAGAGTTTCCATGCTGAGTCCTAAAGCAATCTTATTTTGAAATGAACTGCAAATTGCTTAATCCTTCAGTCGCAGCTTTCCTACTTCTGCTCATTTCTTCTAGCATTACAGGTTCTTATGTACACCATGTGTGTTCTTGGGAAGAGAGCATTTTTCACCAATACCTGCAGATAGAAAGATTATGATTTGAGGTGTAGTTTTATATGGCTGCAGTCACTAAAAAAAAATAAAGTGTTTCTATGTACATATAACCATGACAAACTTGTAGAAAACAAGGGAAAATTCAGTTGAACAAATCTTGGTTTAACTTAGAATCAGAATAGAAAAATACAAATGTGTCACATTTCAAAGTCATTTAAAAGGTCATTATTTTCGTGGCAATTTTTTACTCTAATTGGTTTATGAATGTTTGAACAAAGACAGAGTTGTGACACACTGGTTGGTTCAAAGCTTTGATAGACAGCTTCAACAACAGACATCTGCCCTTCCTGATTCCTGTAAGTACGGATGTCCCTGTCCTTCCACATTTGAAAGAAAATAATTCCCAGTTGTTAAAGAGTATGTTCTCTACTTAAACTCTTACTTCTCTTCTGTAAAAGTTACATATGCTATGATTACTGAACAGTTAACATCACCATATTTGAGAAGTCATCATTTCCAGCACATCAGCACATCAGGGATCTTAAAGTGCTAGGCACAAGTATAGTCAATGGCGTTAATAATAACAACAACAGTCAAGAGATCCTTGCCTGAAATAAGGACAGACAAACCCAGAGGTCAAGAGACAACCCGAGCAGTGATGGCAGAAGTGGAGCTGAACTCAAGCCTGGGTTTCAGGCATTGCTTTAGCCACAAAATGTAATGGCCTCCCCTAGCTGCCAGGTTCCAAGAAGCATAAAAGCTTCTTTGGCATTTGTTTGTTTGGTATTCAGTTCCACCACTTTCTATACAGTTAACCAAAGTGTTAGGGTTTTTGCTTATTATAAGGACGACATTCAATAAGCAACTGGAGGATGCCCCTGAAAAGAACTAGGTGTAAGTTACAGTTTTAAGACCGTTTTTGAAGTCATCCTACTACCTAATGGCAAAGAATAGAATTATTTTTGTCATTTGTAGGTGTTATTCAGGAACGACTGAGATGCTAGTACTCAAATTTAGATGAATCAAAGCAAAAAAACCATTTTCTTTTCTTTCTAATTGCAGCTCCAGCTAGAAAAACAGAAGGGAGAAATTCTTGGGGTAGTGATTGTGGAATCTGGATGGGGATCCATTCTACCCACAGTTATCCTGGCTAACATGATGAATGGAGGCCCTGCAGCCCGTTCAGGAAAACTAAGCATTGGAGATCAAATCATGTCCATTAACGGGACCAGTTTAGTTGGTCTGCCTCTTGCAACGTGCCAAGGGATCATAAAGGTACCCCAAACTTAAAACTAACTATATGCTGTAGATTGCAAGCCAGCAGAGATGTAATATTATGACAAGATTTCCAGCAGATATGATTTTTCAAATCACTGTAAAAATAAATAAATAAATAAAAAATCGTTAACAAAAAGCAGAATTAGAAACAGAGATTCAGAGGTGATAACATACAGAAATTTAGGCTGACGAATTTGACTGCAGCTTTGTTACTGGACTATAACAAATAAGGCCAGGTCTGAAAAACTTGCCTAAGTTAAGTTCCTTAGCTCTCCTCAAAGTTCCAGGCTTCCCCACAGCCTCCAAATTAAAACCTGAGGATTAAAATCTACTATGCGTCTTTGGGCTCCATGTAGATGAAATGGATGGAGGCGAGTAGACTGCAGGACAGATCAAGTGAGTATGTGAAGATTCCCCAGACATTATGGGATCTCAGAATGCGTTATCTTTTCATCACTGAGACTCAATCCAATGTCTGTGCAGATTTACCAAGAGCAGCAGGAGCAGATTAATTGGCCAGGCATTGGTAAAGGGCAAACAGTAGTCAGTTTTGGCTTTTCTTGAAAACATTCTTGAAGTTTCTGTAGCAATTAAAAGCAAAGTTTTGATATGTTTTGTTGGGCCAAATAGCTTAGGAAATAAATGAAATGGAGATGTATCTCTAAGTTAACAACAGATTTCTATTAACTTTCGCTGTTCTTTCTCAGATCAGCTGACTTACAGTTAGGAAACCACTAATGAAAGAGCAAATTAAGATCCCTTTCAGAAATATTAACTTTTGGAATATCTTACCAGGGTCTCAAGAATCAGATGCAAGTCAAACTGAACATTGTCAGCTGTCCTCCTGTTACTACTGTTCTCATAAAAAGGCCAGACTTAAAATACCAGCTGGGCTTCAGTGTACAGAATGGAATTGTAAGTCTCTGTGTTCAGTGATTGTTCTGGTTTTGGGGTTTTTTTCTCTCCCCCCCCCCCCTTTTTTTTTTTCTCAAAACATATGTTTTGGGTTTTTTTTCCCCCCCCCCCCCCCCTTTTTTTCTTTCAAGAAACATATTGAAGTACTGAAAAAATTCTTGCATATGACCTCAACTTTTTGTACTGCAATCCCTTAGTTAATCAAAACCTTAAAATCACATATCTGAGTAATATAATGCAAATGGACAATACCAGGAGAACAAATACTGCCATTCTTGAGGGATTTTCCTACATAATACAGCCACAAGATTTATTGTCCAGATTGTTTGGTGCAGTATCTGGATCAGCTAATTCAGGTATAACTTGTGTCATTAGTGTGCCAGAGTTGCAAGGAAAACGGTTATGCTGAAACAGGTTTTTACAATTATAACATTCTAATCTTAGCTCTGATCCTGTTTATCTTTTTAAAATTTCAGCACAAACTCACTAAGGCTTTTAGTTTTCCTTTGGCTGTGCATAATTTATTTGGATCACATGGTAGTGGGCAAGGCAATGTCATTGTGACCTCCTTTGGTTAAAATTAAACACCTCTCACTACAAGTAATTGTATAGGTAGTGACCCAGGTATCCTTTCTCTGCATGTTGCAGTTTCCTTGTAATAACAGCAGCAAACAGGAGAATGAACATGGCAGGTAACACTTACCCAGTGCAGCTCAGGGTCTTCTCTTAGTTCTTCCTTCCCAAGCCATTCTCCAATATCATTCCAAAGCAAACTCCCAATGCAACTAGCCCAGGTAGTCACCTGGCCTTTCCAGGGCCTTATACTAGCATTAAGGACTGTCTGTAGTGCAGGACCATCACCATCTCCTCTTCCTCCAGTCTAGGAAAAAAAATAATCAGGCTGCTCACACAGAAAAACCACATCACAAAGGACTGTGGGCTCTGGTCCCCTGTTCTGTGAAACTCATCGATTGAAGTTGCCAGATTTCAGTTTGCCATCCTTGGAAGCGTAGCAGGTAACTCTATAGGATATGGTTTATGGGTCTTACTGTGCTTTAGCAAACAGATGGCTCATTAGGGGATTGTCAGCTCTGCTAGCCATCTCTTGAAGTCTTTATTGTACCTACGTTTTAAGTGTTCCTACCCAAGACCACGTATCATATTGTGGTTGCAGCACAGACTGGTATAAAGAACACCGCTACAAGCTGTGGTCTAGCTGGAAGCACTCTGAAGTGATACCTGTCCCAGGTCAACATCCTTTAGAGGTTTAAAGTATTTGTCATGTTTGGGATTAATGCTCTGATACTTCAGTAGAGAGAGGTCTGTGAAAAACTACAGAAAAATCAGGTGTCTGATATATTTCTGTCCTTTGCCTGTGCTTAATCCCCTTTCACCTCCATGTGTGTGTATGGTGGGTGGGTGTGGTTATTGCTGGTAGTTCACTCTCTGTTAGCAAATCCCAAGTCTTGGCATAAAAAAAGGACGAAAGGGATGGGATCTGGTATTACAAGATCTCACAGACGGTACCAAGAACAGCCTGTAACACTGTTACACAGTGATTTATTTCCTAATTGCGATCTTTTGTAAATCTAGTATGTCCAGCTGGTGCTATGATAAAAAGAGGAAAATATATTTAAGGATCAATAAGTGATACTGTTGTGTAACCACAACTCTTCTCAAGAACTCTTCTAGGAGGCCTGTCCTTGCATAGATGGGGATTGGGTTGGGGTGGGGAAAAGAACCAGGGCAAGGCAGATTAGAAGCAGCATCTCATATCCTGACACGGCCAGAGACAGTTACGGAGTCTGTGAGACAATCTATTCATCTTGTCCCAGCTAATCATCTCCTACATAATTGGAGCCTTAGTTTAATAAATTCTGCAGACTGTGGTTGTTTTCTTCCATAGCGTACTCACTCCATCTACTGGTCATATGTCTTACTCATTATGGCCATAATTAATTCCAGTTCAATGAGATACATATAGATGACATCCAACATAAAGTTTACAAATTCAGCATAAAAATAATTCTCAGATAACAAAAAATAAAGCCTCGTAATACGTTTCATTTATGAAGTGCCTGTGTTTGAACATGAGAGCCAGCAAACAAAAAACCCATGAACATCCTTTGCTAGACTGCTATATAGACAAGTCTCTGGGCCTTTCTCAGATAGACTCTTCACTTAACATTTGAAAATATGACTCTGCAAAATGTGTCTCTCTGGTTTGCCACTGAACTTTTAAAAAGAGGTTTTGTAATTGCCAGCAATTGTTATATTGTTAAATTATGACAGGATTCAGAAATAACATCCTTTTTTCTTTGTTGGCTCAGCATTAGCACAGTGAAGAAATAAATGACCTGCCAGAATGGGCATAATTAAATGTCTCCTACTGCTAAGCCTCATTATGTATGCAGCTGGTATATATTTCTGTGCCTCTTCTGATAGCAGTTTTGCAGTGATTCCTTTTCACTCTGCCTATCTCATCTGTGCAGGATGTACAGCTGTTGGATTAGTGAACAGCCCATAAACAACCTGGACATACAGAAGTCCTATCTGAGCTGCGTTTTGCTTGCACAGGGTATCAGGAAGATGCAGAGACTGGACTCCTGAAAGTGACTGTTTTCGTTCGTTTATTCTGTACAGTTTACAGCAAAGCCTGCAGTTGTGCTCATGGAGCGCTAGTAGTACCAACTTTTGGAAGGTTTAGTTGGGGAACAGCACAACAGCACAAATCAGTGTTAATTTTGCACAATTCCTCTTGCACTAATGACGCAAATATTCTTCATAGCTCTTGGAAGCTACTGATGTAAATCCATTGCATATTTATAAAAGGAATATCAAATTTGAACTGTAAAACATTAAGGAAAAAAAAGGAATCTTGTGCATACATACGAAACAAGTATGAATGGTGTGTGATAGGGAGAACATAAGGTGATTTATCAGCCACCTTCTGAAAATCCTTACGCTACAATTCTTTAAAAGTGGTATCTAAATACAAGTAATCCCCATCATCTTATTTCCTAAATTATGAAAAATCCATGCATTGCCAGCTGTATTTTTACTGCTGATAATGCACCACTTCTCAGTCTAGATCTGACATTTCATCTGAAAATTATATATACCCCATCCCTAGCCTAGCACAATTCTATCTACAAAATACAGTAAAACTAGGTAAAAATCAACAGAACAGACCGTTTATTTTTACTTTCTCATCTTTGTTTATATTTGTTTAAATAGTCTGAGCAAAAAGTATACCGGGTTTGAACAGAGTATTATAGGAGTGAGATGAGGAGAAACCTGGTTTAATAGATTATATTAAATCTCTATTTCTAGTTTGCCCTGCAGCGTTCTATCCTTAATGTTTTGCTACACAACTGCAGTTGCAATAAAACATTGTGAAGCTACTGGAGTTACACACCTGATCCACTGCAGCTTGTCTAAGGCACTGCAGAGTCTGTAACAGCTGAATGGATTGAACCTGTATGATCTACACCTTTCTTTGGTTTTTTTCTCCTTTTTTTCTTCAGTTTGCACAGTAAGTAGAGTATAGGCTCGTGCGTACAAGAAGATCCAGATCTGTCATGCTTTATTTAATAATTTTACAGTTGTCACCATGTTCAACAAGTAGAGCAGGCTAAACAATCCTGGCTGGATAGAACCATATTTACTTATTGGTCCTGCTCATCTTAAAATTTCTCAGCCTTATCTGCCATAGCTCCACTGGCTGGAGACAAAAGTCTTAAGGCTGCTTTGAGTCAGCTACTTGCAAATACAGGAGCCATGTAAATGCGTGCTTTAAGTAGAGTATATTTCTTTACATCTGCACTCTGTCTCTAGCATCACAGGATCTGTGAGGCTAGGCAGAGCCACTTGAGCTCTGTGTCTGTTTCTCTTCCTACCTCATTAAAATAGTTAATGCTCACAAAAGGAAGCTGACTCCCTTCCCTGGAGAGGGATCACGTTCTTGAATGAAGATAAGAGACAGCTTCCTATGTCTGAGAAAGAAAAAAAATCACTGCTGATATTAGAAGTGGTTTGAGAGCCACATAATGAAAGGTGCTCTGGATAGATATGCAAGCCATTATCTTTTCCTTTATGCCAGGGGGGTGAGAGGTCACATTTCCATTTGCTCTGAAAGCTTTTCTTTCAGCTGGCTGTAGTGTTTCTGTATTTTCTTTTATACCTTGAAAACTATTTTTGGAGGCATATATTTTTTTTCTGTTTTTCTCAATATATTACTTTTGGCACATTCAGCTTTTTATCCTTTCAGACTACTGCATACAATCCCCAACAGCAAGGAGCAAACTGTTATAACAACAGTGAGTTGAACTGAGAAGCTTTCTATAACAGAGATCTATGTAGTACAGCTTATCTTATCAACTACATGATTAGCAAGTAGACTACCTGCTGCAAAACAATATATGTGGCTGACATTCAAAACGCAATTCTGTGTAGGGTCCTGATGGTTCCTCTACCAATAAAAGTCCATGAGAAAGAGTTGATGAACCACAGCTGGTAAAAGTCAGCCACTAATGACAGTGTGGTGGAAGATGTGTCTCACTGCAGGATAAAGGTTTTTGGGTTGTGGGGTTTTTTTTCTCTTCAGAAAGCTGAGAAAGGCTTTTATATAAAAATATATATAAAGAAAGAATAAGTAGATGTTTTTGCTCCCCATATCAGACAACCTGAACTTAATAAGAAGGGATTTCAATTTTTATAGCATTGTTATTTGTGAAGAGGAATTGAAAGGAAACTCCTGATGTCATACAGAATAGACTCTGGTCAACCAGAGACAGTGTTTCACCTTCAGTATATTCCAGCTTGGCCATCTCCCCACATGCTATGTTTCTGATTTAGATTACAAACTCACTCGGACACAAGCCACATCTTATCATACTTAGCTCTGAGCAAATTACTGTATCTCAGCAAATAATAATTCTTAGCAAACAAAAGGTAAATCTCAGGACTGCTAAGCTCTGTTTGGTTCCAGAGATTCAAGCTTTTCAAGCATTATCTACCGTACATGCTGCATGAACTTAATCTTCTGAAATACTTTACCAGCAATTTCTGTCTAATATACAGCTATCTAGCCTGCCAGGGAGCAGCCTCTTGTAGCATAGACACTGCTGCTTGAGGAGGAAACATTCTTTTAATTTTCCTATACTGGACTGAGCTTTTTATTTCTGTCTCTACATCACACATGTTGAAACCTCAGAGGAATTTTAAGTAGCAGTAATCTGCTGGAACTATACTTGGTGAACGTAACTCTTCTTGCAGAATTATTCCCCTATTGTAGGGGCATAAAAGTCAAAACTTGTGCCTAGTTCTGGTACCTGCAGCTGTCAGTTGTAACAGTGCCCTGATTTGCCTTCTTCATCCTAAACTCCTTATGGCCAGTGGCACTGTAAAACATGGGGAATAGCAGTGGCTCTGGAGAGCAGTGCCCTTTTCCAACCTGCAGAGGAAGCAAGCTGTTATACTGCACTATGCTGAGAGCAGCCTGTAAAAAGAAACAGAATTTGCACATTTCATAGAGTCATAGTATAGCTTAGGTGGAAGAGAGCTTTAAAGATTACCTGGTCCAAATCCCTGCCAGTCAGGAGGGTCACTCACTAGATTAGGCTGCTCAATCCTTGTCCAGCTTGACTTTGTACGCTTCTGGGGATGGGGCCTCCACAACTTTTCTGGGCAACCTTTTCCAGTGTCATCATAAAAAAAAATTCTTCCTTATATCTCTGAGATAAATCTTTCCTTGTATCTTTATGACCCTTTTAACAGATTGCCAGCTTTCAGTCTAGAATGTGTGTATCCTTTCCTTCAGTCTAAACAAGTTTGTGCAGGGTTAAGGATTAAGCTTTACACCATTTTTTCCACATATGTGAAAAAACTGCTGTCATAGATAATTCTTTCTTTAGCATTTTTTTACATTTCCCATTATTCAGAAAGCATAACGTGGCAGTTTACAGAAAGAGTCCAGGTGGCACAGTCAAAAATACTTAAAAACGACTTCTCCTATCCTGACAGCACATAAAACTTCTCCCTTCCTCCTCTAACTACACTCTTTTGCATGTCTGCTACCTCTGTCACTGTGTTAGGTGTTTATATGTTCCCAGCCCATGAGAATGAAAATGAAAACTGTAATTTGCAGAAATCTGATGGGGTTGGGAGAGACAGGACCCACCACAACAAAAAACAAACCAACATTTTAAAACTCACAGTATTGCTTAATACTTTCCACAAGTATCTTCTGGAATCCTTATGGTGTCACTGCTCATTATTACATCTTAAATCCTAGTAACTGCTACATTCTGACGTTTCTAAAGTTTAATAAACTTTGCTTTCTCTTGGCAGATTTGCAGCTTGATGCGAGGTGGAATAGCTGAGAGGGGAGGGGTAAGAGTAGGACATCGCATTATTGAGATCAATGGACAAAGTGTTGTTGCTACAGCTCATGAGAAGATAGTACAAGCATTGTCTAATTCAGTGGGAGAGGTAAGAAAACCATTAAATACTTTAAAACTGTTGAAAGAACATATATTTCAGCTGAAAAGTGTGTCTTAACATAGTATTAAAACCAGCTCAGTAAATTAGAGTTGAGCACTGATAACAACAGAACACTTTTTGAACAATTAGATCACATTCACTGCAGTTTCCACTTATTTTCAAGGGTTCCTGGCATGAATCTGAACCATCAGTCTGCTGTTTGAATTAAAGTAGTCAATTAAGAGAAGAAATCGTGCAGCCTGTTAGCTATGAAAATGTGTCTTGGCTTATCACTACAGCATCTGCTTAATTAATTAATTAATAATATTCAAAGAGCTGAGAGAGATATGTATTTTAATAATTTCATTTTCACTGAACATTTCCAACTTACCTTGGGAAAAAGTTAAGACATCCCTCTCTGGTCCTTTTAGAGAAATCAGCAATGAATGAACAAGATCCTCCAGTTTATCAAAACCCCTACTGAATTTCAGGGTAGAATAATACACAACCCTGGCCAGATCTTCCACTAGTTCCTTAGCCAAAAACCAAAGAAAACGATACTAGAAAATAATAGAGTACATGCACATTGGCAGGAAGAAAGCTGTAGATTTTAGTAGAACCTCTGTGCCTTTATGGTGCCTCTTTGCTGCATAACATCTGTCTAAACATATAAGGACAGTATGAAAGTGGCTTTTTCAGCATGAAGAGACCAAGATAGCAAGGCAGCGTATGGCTGGTGAAGACCTGTAAACTTCAGTCAGTAAAGTTTACCTTCCTTCCTCTTGCGCCGATAGGTACTTACAGCTGTGACCACATTTCTGATACAGCTCTGATTACCTGATGCCTTTAATGCTGTCAGTATTCCTCTGACACCACAGCACTCCTTGTAGCAAGCACTTAAATACGCTAGCCAGGAGAGAACCTGTCCCACCAAACCCTTGACCGGCATTTAAATATCAGGTGATAAAGGCCACTCTTTGTATTCAGAGGATCATACTCCAATAAAGATAAAACACGTACAAAATTACAGTCTTGCAGGGAAGGAAGACAGAAGAAAAAAAATAAGGTCAGTTAATACCAGAACAGGAGAATGAGTTTGCAGAGAGGTTTGTGCTGCTTCTTTTTTTAAGGGCTGTAATTGCAGTGGAGTATTACAACAGAGAGTAGTTAGGTGTCTTTCTAGCTGGATGATGTTGCATCCTGTTGTCATCATTTAAAAAAACCCAACAAAATAACAAAGGAAGCGAGCCAGCTTGTTAGAACCAGACAACTTGAACTAGAAACTCTGGCAACACTCACACCTGTAGAAAGCAGGACAATAAATGCACTTACACTACAGGGAGAGACAGATTATTTTAAACTAGTAACAACTGTTCTAATTTCTGTGTAAATCAATTGACAGATTCACATGAAGACTATGCCAGCTGCCATGTTCAGGCTTCTAACTGGACAAGAGACACCCCTCTACATCTAGCATGCAACTCTTGCAGGAAAACTAACTAAAAATTCCATCAAAGCTGAAGCCCTCATAGCTGAAAAGAATTTTGTATTTTGTATGAATGAAAGGATTTGAAGCTGACCTGAGGACTCTGAACAAAGAACAGACAGGTGTCTCTGCCTTTTCTCTCCTTCCTTTTTATTTCTTTGCCAAAAAGTGATGAGAAGGATGGTCAAGGACAATAATCAATGACAAAATTCTTTGTAAAACACTTAAGTATTTTGCAACATCTTCTAAACTTTTTTCTCATAAAACTTAAAACATATTTATTTGTAACCTTTATGTGGAGTGATGTATATATGTCTGTCTTGTTTGATAACACGGTGAATGTGAATATTTGATGAATGAGAGTGAAGGAAATGGCAAAGAGAAGTAATTAGAGAACGTTATGGCTGCCTCAAGTTAAAAAAAAAATCCCAGTCCCATAAAGTGGTCCAGTACTGATGGCTTTGCATAATTTTAAAACTGGTGCTGTATAAATGGTATTTCAGTGGTAAGGAATGCGTGCAGTTAAAACTTTTAGATTCTAATGTAAAGCAAACCACTGTAGTACTTGGTATTGTTATGACAAGTGTAACCTGTTTGGCAAGGTGTGAACATAAACATGTAACAAGTGTTTCATATCCTAAATAAAGAATAATTGCCACAAGATTAAAATCAAGATATTTATTTAGATACATATTTATTTTTAATGTTTGTGATTTTTATGAGTTAACAGTTATTTCATGGATAACTTATTGCACAGGTTGTGTAATGTATGTGTTGGGCTGGGGTTTTTTGCCTTTAATTTTTGCTTATTACCCTTTTGTTTCTATTAGCTGAAAATGGGAAAGCCATGCTTACCTGTTTCTGTCTTTTATAAAGCATTCTTATTCCTAAGGCAATGTGTTCTGAATGTAAATTGTTTCGACTAATAACCTAGCACCATCAGCAGTATTAGAATGTGTGTAGATTTAAAAAAACAACTAGTAGTAAAGTTGTATTCCTTATGAGATAAATGTTAATTGGTGTAACTTTTCATCTAGGTTTTTTTTTTCTTTTGGCCAAGGCCTTGAAGAAAATACACTGTGACTTAAGAAGCCTTACCATGCAGTAACTAAAGAGCTTTAGATGACTGTACTTCAAGGAGTAGTGTTGCATGCAACTGACCTTAGGAAAGAATTAACCTACTATCACTAATAAATCTGAAATAAAAAGGAAGCTTGTTTATTTTGTTTGTTGTGCAAGTTTACATAATAAAAAAAATCCAAGTAGATAATTTAATTCTTCATCTAAGTGCAGTTGCAAAGGTCACAGATTCTTTGTCTAAAAAGGCATTAATCACTTGAATTAGGAATTTGTGCTTCATTATTATCTTGAGAGTAGATGCTTTCAATTAGCATGCCTTGTTACCACTGGATGTCACTGCGACTTCACATCAATACGGGAACATGCTATAATTACAATACATTAAAGTGGATGATGCTGTAAAACTTAACAGCTACATTCCTTTGTGACCTTTTCACAGGATATCTGCCCAGCTCAGAGTGACACAAATGAAACCAGTATATGATTAAACCGCAAACGGAAACTAACGCTACTGTCAAGCAAAAAAATTAAAACCCTGAAACACCCACCTGTGGTAGGTTCTTCGTGAGAACCTTTTGTTTAAGGCTTTGCCAATAGTTCCTCAGAGAGCCAGGATGAAGCTTGCAATGGAAGACATTGCTGGCAGACCTGTGTTTATGCTGGGAATCAAATTAGTGTCAATTATATTTATTTTTTATTACTATTATTTTTGTTTGTTTGTTAAGGTCAATGTCACACATCAGAAATGCAGCAGAATCACAAGGACATGTTTTAGTATTACAGTTGTCAAAAGGACTAATGGGAATAATGATTCTTTTTGAAAAAAATTGTTCAAGAATCTGCTAGGGGCAAATTCATCTCACTTCCAATCAGTTGGCAATTGCAAAAGGTTTGTGAAATCTGCCTTTTGGAAACGTAGAATTTCAAAGACTTCTTCCCTAATGCATCTTGTGGTCACAATTCGCAGAGCACTTCAGTGTCAGTTTGCTGTAGCATTCACTACTCAATAAACTCAGGAGTGTTCAGAACAAAGCAGACCACCCTGCAGCCTTTACTAGAATTGAAAAGGGCGATACGTTGTTTGACGAGGGGGCAGCACAGTTTTAGGGGGACTGATGAGTTCGTCTGGCATGAAGGACACTGGGAAAATGGATTAGAAGCAGCACTCTTTGTGCATGTGAATCACCTGTACATTTCTATCCAAATCACTTGTTGAAAAAGCAAAGTCCAGAAAAACTTTTTATTAAAACACTGATCATAGTTAAAACACTTTGAGGTACATTCAATAAATACAACTTTTAAGTTGTACAGCCCATCTCTGGTGGTTTTGCAATGGTTTTCAAGAAATGCTAGACAGCATCCGTAGCATTTCTGTAAGGACAGAGAAGTAAACACATTTCTGGTTGGAAAAACATTTGTTATGACTTTATGACAAATCAGTTAAAATTTTGCAAAAATCAAGGCTGACATTTACATTCAGAAAAACAGGTGTTCTCCTGCTGCTGGAAAAAAGTAGAATTCCAAAGGAAGACACTTTTTCCTTTGTAAGTCATCCACCAGTATTTCTCCCAGTCCTGATTTCTTCCTTAACTCTCTTTGCTGGAATCACATACCTGTGAACATTATCAAAGGATGGTCTCCCGGCAAACTCCAATTAAACTGTGAGGCCTGTCCCGCTCTAAACTGCGAGTGATATGGGACCTACGTAAGAAGGCAACTGGAGAGCTCAGAGCACCACAACTCTGAAGATGAAGATCTTCTTGAAGTTGCTTTCTACAGGTATTCACATTCTGCTGGGCACTTGTAATTACCTGTTTAAAAGGGCAAGAATGGAGAAGGAAGAATGGGTAAAACAGGGTAAGAAATATCTTCATTTAAAACATTCTGGCCCAGAATATTATCTCATTAAAATTATCAAATGACAGAACTCTCCCGGAGGAAATGTGTGTTTATGCAGCAGCTCCTGCTCTTATATTTGCTCAGGGCTGAGCACTGGCTACTGGGAGGCACAGTTGGGCTTGAAAGGCATCAGGCCTTGCATCCTTAATGTAGTCTGTAATGTAAGGTGCAAAAAAGTGTTTGTTTCCCTATACAGATGAAAAGGAAACCTGTGGAATAGGTGGTAGCTCTGCCTTATAATTGACAAATGTCTGGAGCAATTTAAACTCATCTGTTTCTTTTAGGAGAAGGAGACGCTTCGCTAGCTTTGCTGAGGGTGGGAGAAAACGAAATCCTCGCAAGCTGGGTAAATTGATGTTAATAGAATAGTCAAGCTACTTCACAAACCTGAATTCTACAACTATTTTACCAGAAACTCTATGACTTCTTAAGTAGGTTGCTGAGATGCCCTGGACCTTCACTACTTGATGATGGTTTTTGTCTGAAACAAAACCCTACTAAAGTTATTTCTTTAATGTGAAAAAATTTATGTCTCCTTGAATCTAAGTAAAGTCCACACAGGATAGAAATCGGGCGGTTGGTTTCTGGTTTTATGATCTACATAAACACATTTTTTATACTGTTTTGTGAGAAACTATGTTTTTTCCTTTAAAGAAAATTGTCTTCAACTTTCTACCATTGAGGATTTAATGGCAATTTAATTAATTTAATAATTAATTTTAAATACATTAATAATTTAATTAGAACGAACTAAAAAGGGGGGAAGAATATCTTTAAAGTAATAGTTGAAAAAAATAGTGTAAACCGATAACTATGTTAAACTTTAATGCCATACTATCACGTACACTTACACTCTATCTATGTCATCACAGTTCTGTTTCTTGACCCGTGTGACTCCAGAGGTGACCGATATGGTGCTGCTACTTTGTTCTACTTCATAGGTAGCAAAACCAATCTTGCAGGAAGCTTTATTAAATGCTGGTTGCTTCCTGCTACACATTCAAACTATCTCCCATGCTGGCTAAGTGTTATTGCATCCTATTTTAATACTTAGCCAGTTTCCCTCATTTAGGGATCAGCAGACTAATACCACAGAAATTACAGTCTCTCAGTGGGCATCCTCAATTGTCTGTCCAGCTCCGTGGAAACTCTACAGGCAACCTTAATGCAGTCAGTCAGTGCTAAGAGCATTCTGCTTTTCCAGTCTGAGAACCTTCAGAAAGGACCTTAAATATGGTATAAAGGCTTCCTTTCTATAGCTGTCGTTCTGGTAACAAAATTAGCAAGAGGTGACACATCACCTTCCTTCCTGCAAAAAATATTTATTACTAAATATCCATTAGTTAATAAAAGTTGCTAATTCCCTTGTTGTATGAGATTCCTTCCAAGCATTGCGTCTGGTTTATTATCACTTAAGGCAAGAAGATGCATTATTCTTCATTTGGAAAAGCACAATTTATCAACTGTTTTTATTAAAAATAGCAAGGGTCATTATCGCTCTTCTAGCCAGGAGTAAGGGTGACTGCACTGTTCTGTTTTCAGAGATTCTGGCCCTGCTTGTGTAACTACCCCCCCCCTTTTTTTTTAACTAGTAGCTTATGCTGTACAAATACATTTGCCTGAAAAACCAACAGATCCAAGTCAGTTCTGTGTATCTCCGTATATAAATACAGTTTAATGTATGGAACAGTCACAGGTGCAGAAAGAGGTTGGAAATAAGAGAGGATGATTACCAACGTGTAAATATCAGATCCCTACAGATCTCCCAGGACATTACTGGGCCCAGCTAAAGAATTTTAAATGCATTTATGAGTGCTTCAATGTAAAATGCATTGTTGCCCAATAAATATTTATTATTTCTTACTAAAGGCATGTTACTATAAAATAACTTTTGTAGGAGTTATCTGAAGCACTTAAAACTGTAAAAACACCTCAATGATGTATATGTCTGTCACAGTTGTACAAATCCTTAGAACATAAAAGGCCTACCTGGTCTATAATATTGGCACTGAAGATGGCTTCTTCCATGTGTCTCTCATCAGATTTTATTACTGATCGTATGCTGTTCACTACGTGACGTACTTCTGGATGAAGATTACAGTTTGACTGTTCCAAAAATTTTGCCACTAAAATTTTTGTGTCTTTATAGGCCTTAAGGTCCACTAAAGAGTGTGGTCGCTCTCTTGAGACGCTGTGCAAAGCCTTTGGCTTTAGATGTAGATCAGTTTTCCTTGTATCTCTCTGTTTTCCAGTTGGTAGGAAACTGCTCCAAGAATGCTGACAAGCAGAGGCAGCCATATGAGAACCAGAAACAGGAACTAAAAAAGGGGGGGAAGAATATCTTTAAAGTAATAGTTGAAAAAAAGAAAAAGAAAAGAAAACAAGGCAAAACAAAAGTTTTTACTTTGTCATAAAATGTCTGGTTTTGTCTCACGAATAACAAAAACATGCAATCAAAGAAACACTGCAAAATGGGTAATTGTAACCAGGGGTCAAGAGTAAGAGTCTCTCTTATGACTAAGCAGAACTGCAGTTAGGATGAGTGGGTGGATAATACTTGAGAAATCACAGACATTTTCATTACCTCCACTTTCCGGGACTTCAGTCAACATCAGTGGTAAGGGGAAACACCACCTACTCACTGTTACATGTAACTTGTGATGTTTTAGGCCTGCCCTCCCCTCAACTTTAAGGAATAAGTTCCTCTTATTTCTAGGCCTCAAAATTATAAGCAATGAATAATACAAGAAAGATTGGTAAGAAATACGGAGAAAGCAAAAATGCTAAATGAAACCAGAGGACTTCATTTGCAGCATTTATTTTCACTCTAAGGCTCTATCAGCATTGTACATCATATATATATGCTGCTAGGAAGTGACTTTTCTGCCCCACATTTTCTAGAGTTTGTTTTGCTATCAGCAGCTTTTAATTATGTTTAAGACAAAAGAAGGAAATCTGTATGATCCTCCTGTAGAAAACTGGTCCTCACCTGTTTCTAATGTAGCTGGAGATAATCCTGCACTTTGACGCTGGCTACACACAGGAGCCCAGGCACAATTATCACCTTTAACCAAAGAGAGAGAAACAGAAAGAGCACAATCAACCCCTGCTATCTTCTGCCCAAGGCAAGATAAAATACACTGGAATCTTTTATTATCTCCTTTACAGGATTATTATTATCTTTCCTTCTTTTCTTTTCCTTTACTTGGAAGAAATACTACAACTTGCAAGAC